TGTATCCTAGATACGACAAACCAATGGAAAAACCACCCTTTAGATGTATAAAACGTATGCGGGAGTAGAAACGACGTGTTCCTCCTCTAATGCAGCAGTACGAGAACACGAGGGAAATAAAAGTAGTGCTAGTAATAATTTATTTAATGTCGAAAACGTGAGGGAGGTGTTTGCACAATCTACCGAGCCAGGAGCTCATGTTAAAAACGCTCGACAACAAATGAATAGGATCTAACAACTACTTACAAAACTGAGGTACGTGTATTAAAATGCTAGTAAAAACTTAAGGTATTCTACAATCATTTATACAAGTTGTTTAAACAAAACTATAATCATTAAAAAGGTGGAGAAGGCTCTATTTTCCTTGCAGGAAAAAGGACATGATGGAAAAGGTGAAGGAACACCGAGACTAAACGACCTAAAATGACCCAAATCTTTCGCGAAAACATCTCCGCGAGCCTCTTCATTGTGCCGTGAGAATATTACTTTCCGACTTATTTATCACTCAATCGTCAGAAAAAGTACGGATCCCCTGACCCTGTCTTTCCGACCAATAATAGGTGCAGCTTTAACTTGTACTTGCCACAATTTTCTGGCTCTTAATAGGCCATGTTCGATATATCATATATGTATTACAATATTCTAACATGGCCGGCTCCGACGCTTTCAGGACAAACTTCTATATTTGGTGGTGTTTTCTCTGTATCCAAGTCTCTTTTGAAGATTCAAGGGCAAAAGAAACTTTTAAAATAGCAATTTTGTCCTGAAAGCCTCGAAGCCATATTGGAATATTGATATATCGTATCGAATATTTGCAATGTTTGTAACTTCGTTATTTGGAAATTGGGTTAAAAGTTATGAACTTATGTAATTACGGTGATAAGAAACTGATAAAAAAAAAATTGATACATCGAACGTGGCCGGTTAGGGAGTAAATTTGGCTATTGAGATGATGTAATTAAAATGTCAGGTTTCTGTTATTTCGTTGTAACTCAGCCGCTCATGGGGCCGTTGGAGTAGGGGTGGGGGTGAGGGAAGGGGGTATTCAATAAGCACTTTATGACTGGCCCCAAGGGAAACAGTGAGTTTTGTTTTCCCGAGACCCTCAATGTTCCCCGAGGCGAACTCTCAACTCAAAAATAGAAAAAATACGAAGAAATCGTTTGCTTGACGCCGGCTGGCTCACAAATTAGCCGGAGTTTCAAGGAGCACGACCTGATCACGTGCGAGTCGAAAGTTCAAGTTGTTGTTTCCCTAGGGAGTTAGTGAGTTTTGTTTGCCCTAGGGATTAATCAGCTGGAAACAGCTCTTTATTCAGCGTGCTTGACCCACGACACGTGACACGTTCTCCTCCAATCGGAAAACGTATGAGCCTCGGTGGGGAGGTATAACAATGAAGTTTTCTACGCGGAGGCCTCAAACCCTTACCCCTTCATATATCATATCCAATCGAAAAAGTAACCTTATATGTAACTCAGTTCATAGTTTGAAATACAATTCAATACAGAATACGCGAGGACTGCAGTTTTCACCATCCCATTTTATTTAACAAATGGCGTCAGTTTTTCATGCGTCTATCATGTTATTGATCATGAACTTCGTCATAACATTGTCAAAGTAGCCGTGGATCCACGAGGCGACAGATCCCTGCAATGTCGTAACCAGTATCTTCTGCGATTCACATAATCCAATCCAAAAATACCCCCAGCATTCACGAATACTCGTAAAATTGTCAAGACAGCACGACGTCATGATACAAACGTAGCCCAGCAACATTAAGAACAAACGTTACGCGCAGGCTCTGTCAATTTTCCACGAACTTGTCAGTCGTTCCCAAATCTCTTTGCACACCAGAAATCTGGAAACAAGACTCCGTTGCTCCTAACTTTTCTAGTAGGAGACAAACACTTTATCCAGTTTATGGTTTATCACAATGCAATAGAATTCCGTTATTCAGGTTTCTCATCGTTGGCGGTACGAGCAAAGCCGTCGGCGAGCGAAGAGAGCTAGTCTTGCGCGACTTTGCTTATCGACTTTGCTCTTGCCGCAACGGATGAGAGACTACTCGCAGGCTAGTGGTAAATTTATTTATATGTTGAAAACCTACGATTTTCTCTTTCTCACTTCTTCCTACCCTGTTCTTTATATACTGTTGAAAGCAACGCAATACTGCATTTAAAGTCCTTTACATAAAAGCTGTCTTTTTTCAAGAAATTGAAAACATCTTCTTTGTTTCTATTGAGCTAGAGAAAAATAAGGGGAAGTTTGAAAGAACGAGAACTCCAGTGGGAACACAAGCCAAGGGTGAGTTTGAGCGAGTAGTGTTTCCATAGCTTCTTCGAGTTCTCCCAACCTTCAAGAGTTTTCCTATGATTTGATAGCAACAAGAAGAAAATGCTTTTTTTAATCTCTTTTAGAGACCACTGACAGGCAAAAAAGAGGAAAATTAATCACTTGTAGCGATTGTCAAAATGTAAATTCTCTATACTAACATCATGTTTTACGTCAGCGTTTAAAGAACTATCGAGTCGAGTCCTGTTTTTATTGAGCTGTAGATATTCGGCTTTTAGCGCGCAATCTTATAGCACTTGAAGGCTTTTAATCTTTCTGAACTTAAGTCTGTGCCATATAGATACTTAATAATTAATTAGATTATTTAAAAATCTCCATAAAATTACGCCGATGATCTCGTATTTTTCGTACATGGTTCATTTCTTGTCAATTTTGTCAAACCTCTCGATGGACAGGCTTTCTTAAGTTCTTTCGCCGTTCCTTATGAAAACACTTTGTCTTTGTGACACGGTGTCTGACAAAATGAGGTAGAGTCACGATGAATCCAAATCATCAACGATCTCTTCCATATTTGGTCTCGCCTCAGGGTCCTCCTGAATACAGCGTCGTATGAGGCCTCGAAACACGTGATTCGTCACCAGGGCTACTTGCTCCTCACGCTGTTTGGGATCAGGCAATTCCCGGATGCACATTTCACAGAGGAGAACACCAAAACTGTACACATCGATCTGTTGACAGCAACAGAAAATGTTACCAATAGTCAATCAATCACTCTCATATGAATGTCACCTTATTACTCTAGATTGAGTAAGCCACTTGCCAAGATACTCGAGTTTCAAATTGTCTCTCTATTCTGAGGGGGGAGGAGGGCTAGTAATAATACTATAGTGAAGATATTACAATTTATTGTACTAATGGTCATTTATACCCAGTTTATGAGACCAAGATTGGATGTCAGCTTGTAAAGGAGCCCCTGGTTTCTGCTAACAGTTCATTAATGATCTCATTTTGTTCATCCAAAAGTAAAGATCACCAGGAGACAGCAATTTTTTATTTCTACTGTCTTTGCTGTGTGGGAGGTGCGGCGGCCCCCTGGATAGCGTGCTCAACTCCAGAACGAGCAGCTGGGATGCGAGCCCTGGCTGCAAACATTGTGTTGTGTTCTTGGGCAAGACACTTCACNGTTGTGTTCCTTGGATTTTATCCCGGCAGAACGGGCTCAAATTTCCCATATGAACAGAAAACAAAACTCGTCCCGATAACCGAGCCAGCCCGGTTACCGGGTTCATATGAAGAGGCTCCAAGATATATGAACCCAAACAAGTTGGCAAACTCTGAGGTAGTCTGCGAGCAGGCTCTCATCGTTGGCGGTACGAGCAAAGCCGTCGACGAGCGAAGCGAGCAGGTGAGGGGTCTGACAGGAGTGGGTGAGCGAAGCATGAGAGCTTGGTCACAAGGGTATGAGTAATTAGCAACAGTAAAAAGATCTGAAGTGAACCAACACATTATGTCCTGACCACTAGAAGAGAGAATAAAGAAACAGGATGACAGACTTAGATGTATGACAAACGAAGATTTGTAGACATTTAATTTCGAGAAATTTTTTATTAAAACGAAACGAATATCGTGAGGTTACATTAGTAACTGTTTTATTCCTTTTATTTAACAAAGGCAAAGCACTTTACAGTAGAAAGACTACCAAACCACGCTCCTCGAAAGTTACCAAAATACAGTGGAACTACTTAATTGCCCTAAAAAACGTTACTACGTGTATATTATTCATATTTATTTTAATCCATGCAAGATTTCTTTTTCAGTTTATGTGCAATTCTGAGAAATTGGAGGAACGTGCAGACACTAACGATTACTAAATCTAAATTCGATTTACAGTTAATTCATGCTAGGATAAAATCACAGTCGTCTTCTCGTCTTCCTGTTAAGAATAAAAACAACAGTAAGCGGATCAGTTGTGTTCCATTGGAAATCCGCGAATCTGATTGGTTCGCACTTAACAGTTAGATTTTTCGCTCTTGATTTCTATGAGGTGATAGTGGAATAATGTCATTGTTTTAGTATAATTCTAACTGAAATTTCCTTCAAATAACGATTCCAATTATTTGTGGTCTTAGTATTAAACTTCAGGCTTTAGAGAATTCGCGCGGACTGAATTAATTGTCAATGTGGCATTTACAGTTGTGTTCGCGCGCTTATCAGTTTCTTTAAAAAATTTCGAGCTTTTTTAATCCAAGAAACCGTAAGTGCCCTCCTTTTAGGAATTTTGTTTAGTAATTTGTTTCTAAATGTTCTTTCAAAACTTCGGAGGAACGAGGAAACTTTGCAATTTTGTCGACCACACCAAGCCTTCTGCACACTAATGGCTGGTAATGTGTAATGGCTGAGCAAAATCAGATTGTAGCATTTGTGTTAGTATATTAGTAGCATTTTACTAATCGCTTGTAGACAGCGATCGTGCGCGCTACTCTTGAAACTGAAAATTACTCGTAAATTTGTGTTTATAAATACACAAAAATGGAGGTTTGGTGCTGTTGTCCTTTAATAATAATAATAATAATAATAACAACAACAATAATAATAATAATAGTAATAGTAATAAAAGTAAATCGTCAGGGAATAGTCTACATACAGTTACTTGTGCTGATGTTAAAGTAGCTCAGTCACCGTATTTGAGTTATTTTGGCCACGTGCAAAATTATTTTTGAATTGAAGGAAACCTGAAAATAATAGTTTACTTAGCTAGAAAAGCACTAAAAAGCACTAAAGAGATAAAAATAAACCATAAAGGAATAAGTACGGACAAGATTAACACGGATTAAAAACGACGAATTTTATTTGAAAGATTTAGACTAAAATTTTAAGATGCGCAAACTGTGACGTAGCTACTTTAAAAAAAAAAAAAAAAAAAACTCCATTTGTTTCACACTGACAGTAAAAGTTGACAGTTACTTGTGATAATACATGATAACCGTTTTTTAATCGAGAATCTGTGATGTCTGGAATCCTTATTCGATATAAGGTGGGAATGCCGTCATCATTTTGTTAGCGAACGAGACTTTGGGCGCGATACCCAACGAGTTTGCCAAGCAGAAAGGTCTGGGAAGAGTCCCTTGGCCGGGACGAAACGAAAGCCCGGCGTCAGACTTACCACAAACATTGTTTCACATTATCATCTTTAATTTTCACACGACCTACCTGTCAGATTTTAAAAACACACGTGGCATGTTCGCCTACACCATGTATGGAAGTCATTGTAATTTCGAGTGGAAGTGAAGAAAGTTTTACGATTGCAGTGTGATTCACTGAACATTCTGCATATCGGTGCATAGTAGGGGTCATCGGCACAAGACCTCTTGCTCAGTTCTGTGGGAAGAAAGAGATCCTTTAATGTGGTAAGTGGTCAAACTAGGGGCTTCATGACAAAGAAGTTACGAAAATAGCGCATGCGTATCAGTAGTACCTAACACACGACGCATCATACCCTATGTTTGGTCAGTGTATTGCAATTGTCTATCCCATCGTTACATATACTTTGCTTGAGCTTTTCTGCGGTCTGTCACTTGCAGAGAAGCTGCACAATCCGTATTTAGGGCCATTATACCTCGAGGAGACCGTTCGGCGTGGCTCGCTGAGAATCTCTTAAACTTTTCCAGGGTATATTTCAAACCAGTTGCGCAGGCATTTAATAGCTACCCATAGTTCTTAGGCCATCGTAACTTGATTAAAAATATAACGCAAACAGTGGTAAAAAACATTGTACCGACTCATGTTTTTGCTAAACTTGACGTTTCGTATGCTAGACGTGCCGAGCTCAAGCTGTGAGAGACACACCATCCTTTGACCTTTATGCCTTGTGATTATCAACATTGTAAGAGGGGGGAGGGGAGAACTTGCTTCGTGTCCCAGCTTTTTGGTCTGGAATTGTAGAACCACAGGCGGCCCAAACTCACATTGCGTGGAGTACTCTTTCTTAGCAGAGGAAAACCAAAAAGCGATAACTCGCTTTAAAGGCTTCAGGTCGAGCTGAGAAGCGAGATGACAATAGAAAAGACAACAAGGCATTGAGGTAAGCCATTTTTATGTCAAAAATATCAAACTTTCAGCTATCGTGTCGATTACCGTTTTTCCGCCATACAAACCTTTATAAATTCAAACCGTTGTAACACAACACCACCATATGCTGCAGGGCGGAGGTCACGTTTCGCATAACCAAACTCGGTCGTTATGTAATAGTAGATGTCGGTGGTAAATATGTCACGTTTCAAGCGTTGAACGTTCGCATAAAGATTTTAAAAAAGTAATAATAACTCCACGCGATGTGAGCTTGGGTCGCCTGTGGTAGAACAGGCGAGAAAATGCAAGGAATTCATTTCGGCCCAGGACTTCCTCGGTAGTGAGGCTTTACAGGAGTTTGTCAAAACATAGACGCTGACCTTTCATGCTAACTTTTAAGTAATTGTAGATTGATGTGTCAAATCTTTCAAAGCTTTCAGACCTTTCCTACGTCAATTGAGAGAGACTCCTGAAGGGAGACTTCTGAATGCTCACTGTGATATATTATTAGCTAGCGGCGAAACCAAAAATATTGCATAGCGCGAATCGCAAAGCAAAAAATTCACCACCGTTTGTTTAGTTTGGGTCTATAATCTAGCACGTGCACATAAGGAATACAGGTCGCTTACCATAACGATCGACGTCATCCATATCCATATCTCTCAGATCATCCATTAATGCCTCAGCTGGGAACAAACGAAGATAAAATTACGTCAGATTACATTTTTTTAAACGTACGGTCACCTTGGAGACAGAGCTGAGCGTGAAAGTGGCCGTTGAGGAGAGGTGGCAGTTGTAGAAAGAGTAAATAAAGAGTAAGGAGTAAGGATTCGCTCCGACGAAGGGCTAACGCTCGAAGGTTTGACTGTAGTCAAGGGATGCCGGAATGACGCAAATTTTAAACAGTTTGACTTCGACGTTGTTTGTGGTCTTCGGGTTTTCCTTTTTCTGCGCTTCCAGTCTTTCTTGATCTCATTTGAGTGTGTTATTATTCCTGGAATTTTTATGCCTTCGCAAATATTATTTATAACCATGTCCGTTAAGATAATGGTCCAAACACATAAAGAGTAACCGATTAGATAATTTCTTCGAACGCAGTAGGTAAGGGTTCTTGGAAACGCGATTTCCTCACCTTGCACTTCAATTGTATTTGAAATGCTACTGAATAATGCATAAGTAATTTGATTTTCTTTTTTTCTGTACGGAATCGTATCGGAGATAAAAGCATGAAATAGGGACATTAGCTTTAGTGTGCTTTGTACGGTCTTTTGGACTACTCGACTCACCATCAAACTCCTTTCGGGGATAAAGATATCCGGCTTCCACTTGGAGCATAACAGTAAAGGCCACGAGCAGACAAAAAGCAACTTGAAACTTTGCCATCTCGTTGAATTGATATTTTTCCCTCTGAAGTAGTCAGGCTTCTGATGTCTTGTCGAAGGCTCGAAATTATGAGTGCCAGTGAGCTGGGCTTCTCTTTTTTAAAACCTAAATCACAAGGGGCTCTTTCATAATTTGAATTGTTAGTGTGGGTGTGGCGTCTGTTCAAAGCGTCCTTATTTAATTGGTTGCTTACAAATCTGAAATTCCAATAATTGAATGTTTTCACTCCCACCAGGACAACCGCCTAGGCATATTTTTGAAAAAAAAGAACTTTCATAATTAATTCCAGGTCTTAATTGTAATTGTTGCTGTATTTTAAAAAGGTTTATTGAATATATAACCCACAACAACTTCTTTCTTAATCGGGATGAGGAAGAACAAAAGGAAATTTTAAAATTAACTCAGCTTTCAGCCAGAAAATCTTTAAAGCCAGCATTACACCAGCCTCCCACGCAAACGTTCTTTGAACTCTACCAGCGCCTCGGCGTGGGAGACGCGCGTTAGGCTGCTAACAAACAAACATTCCATCAGCGTGTCTAAACCGTTTAAGGGTGTTTTTAGTGTGTAGACTACATACAGCTTCCATTTCATCTCTGAATGACTATTGAAGGTGCTTTCATTATCGAAGCTTTGTTTTGACGCATTAATTTTAAAACCTCTCAACACTTAATGATCGAAAATTCTTTACAGTCAAGAGTATCAGTCATCGCTTGATTTTGTAATCAATTGTTTTGAGTCAGTGAAGTAACTGTACCCTACAAATGCTCTCGTTCAAACATCTGCGATCATACCCTAAGACAAAAACAAAAAAACCGCCTCAACGCATGTTACGAAAGGTGCCAATGAATGCCCAGATACACATCTCACTATTTCCCAGTCTTCTTCCGGAGAAAAAGAGAGCAGAGCAACGTATGCTCAAAAATGTCATGCAATTCGCAGACTGCAAACAATTTGAATTTTCTGGCAGTTGCTTCTTCACAAGTGGCCCAAGCTTAGTATATGATTACGCTGTTATTGATTGATCGTGATTAGGTAATTGCGTAACGATTTTTAACCGTTGAAAAATGTGTATGAGAATGCACGAAAATTGTCCTAGATACAAGAATTGAGACAAAATGGTTTTTATTAATAACTTATGTTGGCTTGTGTCATTTTAATATATCTGTGTTTATTACTTCCTGACTGGTCCAGTTTAAAGCCATGTTTTTAAAGAAAAGAGCAAACTGCCAAACATTCCTCTTAAATGGTATGACTTTGTAATTAGTAAATGAATGACAACCCACTCTTCGGCTTTTCTTTGTTTATATAGGCAAACCAGAAATAGCCTGCGTTGAAGCCGGACGTGTCATAAAATCCTCGATATAGATCACTATGCCGGCGGTTTAGACTGTCTGAGACGCAGGCTAACCAGAAATGGAACCGATTGAAGTGGTATGAAATCCCTGATCAACCACAAACATTCTCGTCGACTGAAAATATACTTATTTTCAAGGAGAAAGGAAATTATTTTTGAATACCGGAAAAAACGAAAAAAAACACGAACGACTTACTTTAATTTTAAGATAAAAACACTTTTCAGATGACAGCTTTCCACAAAGAGTGTTACAATAGCTTTCTGTTACAGTATGTTTTCCTTCGAACAGTTCGTGATCAATCCAAGTTTGTTGGGAACCTTTGCTTCCTTCGCCATTTTTTTTAAAGGATTATAATATAACCTTTCTGATTTTCAGCTACCTTAGCTTATAAAAATATTGTTTGGACGCTGTTCCTAACTGGATAACCTCGCTTGGAATATAACACTAGAATTCATCGGATGCCATAATGAGCGTTGACGATCATGTCGCTAAACAGATCAATCCATTTTGTTTTTATCGACCTGATTTTCAGCTTGGAAAAATTTTGTTTTGACGCCGTCTCATTCGAAATGATAACTGGATATCCTCGCTTGGAATATATAACACTGGAATTGATGTCATAATGAGCGTTGACGACCGCGTCGCTAAAGAGGTCAAGCCATTTTCAAAATTTTTCAATCTATTTAAAATTTACACCATTTTTCACTGCTTTTGGTAAATTGTCTTCTAGTTTCTCTCCTGGTATATAGAATCTCTTCCCCACAGAGGCTTCCTACGTGCAGGCATGGGAAGAAGGAAAAGAAAGCGTGAGGTGCCCCC